CTTTAAGGGGATGACCCGAATATTGCTGGCAACACTCTCCTTCACTCCCCATGGCCCTGACTTGGTCATGTGACCACACCTAACTTGGAGGGAGGCTGGGAATATAGTGTATGGCTGAGTGATCGTGTGCTCAGTTAACACTTGTGAATTTTATTATGAAAAAGATGAAGGGGAAAATGGATACTAGGGAACAATTAGGATCTCTGCCAGAGGGAGGGATTTGCGGTAGGGGGCCCTACAATTCGGTAGGTGGGGGCCAAGCCAAAGAAATAAACCTTGTTTTTCATGCTCAGACTACTGGGGCCCAGGGAAACATGGCTCATAAATGTAGATCTTGTGTCAGAAGTCTACTTATGAGCTGCTCAAGGGAAAGGCAGAGATTGATGACGGAAATAACCTCTACCTGGCACGGGGCTGGAGACCCTACATGCTTAGGGAGTGCTTATTAACCACCTGTTTGTTTATCAATGGGCCAGGAAATTATTAATGCATCCATTCTCTTCACCCTTTCTTGTAGATCAGCTTTTCTTGTCCCCTGACTCTGCAGGATATTGGCAGATGCTATTGGTGCCCATTCCAACATCCACTGCCTTCTTTTTCCTCGTCAACAGAATCCCATTTTGTTTGGGGCAGCACCATGTCAATGAAGTCGTTGCCTTCCTTGCCTCTCTTGAAACCAGAGGAAGCCATGTGTCACGGTCTGCTCAACTGTGTCCGTTTCCTACGGCCGCTATGACAAGGTGCCACAGACTGGGTAGCTTGAACAATGGGCATTTATTGTCACACAGTTCTGCGAGCATCACAGGACTGGCTCCTCCTGAGGGCTATGAGGGGAGGCTCTGCTCCAGGCCTCTCTCCTTGGCCTGTAGATGGCCACCTCCTTCCATTATTCCTTTACATCGCCTTCCCTCTGTGCCCATCTCTGTCCACATTTCCCCGTTTTACATGGACACCAGTCATACGGGGTTAGAACCCACCCTAACGACCTCTTCTTACCATTGCTTTGGAAGTTACATGACTCGAAGGCTCCGCCATGCAATCTCTTTCAAGATGCAATCTCCAAATAAGGTCACATTCTGAGGTCCTGGTGCTCAGGATTCCAACCAATCTTTTTTGGAAGGACACCCATCACAGCAGTGCAATAAGAACAGAAATCAGCGGGAGGTATTTGGGCAAGCGTTTGCTTTCCTGATAAAATGAGCCCGCTTTCTTCCTGCCTTGAGTGTGACTATGATAGTTGCAGCCTCAGCTGCCAACTCTGACTGTGACAGAGGCCCTGAACCCGCTCCAGCAACCTCGGATCTCTGGACAGCTTGTCACATGGCTTTGATTCAGGATTTTGAGCTGTTTCTCTTATCTGCAGCTGAAAGCATTCCTAACCAGTCCAGCATCTCCCTGGACGGTCATTCATTCCCCTGCATCCATTAGCGGACATTCAGAACCTTGTATAAGAACATCCCACTCATCTATCTCCCCATGTCTCATTCTTCGAGTCATGTAACTTCCAAAGCAATGGTAAGACAGGGGCACATATCCTCTACCGAAATGCCTGAGGAGGCTGGGCTTTGAAGAGATGCAATATTGGAGCTGAGTGGACCACAGAGAACTGAAGACCTCAGCCAGAAGAGTATTCAGAACAGGAAGACAAATGGGGTGTACAGGAAAGGGAAGTGGGGGGTAGAGGCAAAAAGCGGACAGGTCCAGTAACACTTCTTACTGCAGAGACAAGGGAAGGGGGATTTTCCAGGATTAGTGACATGGCGGAGCCTCGAGGAAATCCCAGGGGAACTTCCTCCATTGCTAAAATACGATAGTGTAAAATCACAAGCTGGATAGAAACTGGAGGATATCTAGTTCAGGTTTAGCAAACTCAGATGCTTCCAGGGTCCAGGCAGTAGCTCGAGTGAGCAAAAGCCCCTAGTGGACACCATGGAGAGCAGTCCATCAGATGCAGCATCTGTTAAGTCAGCTCCCAGTCTTGATCCTGTGCTCTGGGCCCAGAATTGCTAATTCTGATTTTTCCAGAAAAGCTAAAAATTCATTTTCTTATGTTGAAATCTCCAGGTTTTTTTTAAAAAAATTTTAAAGCAAACCGTTTTACTGATTTTTTAAAGATTTTATTTATTTGAAAAAGAGAGAGAGAGAGAGAACGAGTGGGGGGAGGAGCAGAAGGAGAAGCAGACTCCCTGTGGACCAGGGAGCCTGACGCAGGGCTCGATCTAGGATCCTGGGATCATGACCTGAGCCAAAGGCAGACACTTAACTGACTGAGCCATCCAGGTGCCCCCAAATCTCCAGTTTTTTTAATGTTGGTAACTCATGAAACCGTTTTGAACCACATAAGAGCCAAACAGAATGCATCTGCGAGCTAGATGTGGTCACCTGAATGGCATCTTGGGTCCAGCCCCACATCACACCCAAAGCAGTAGACCACACTACAGTAGCCTCTCCTTGAGTGCCTCCAGTGACAGAGCTCATTAGAAATCCACTAAACCCTGCACCTCCAGACAGCAATCCACTTCTCTCCTACAGCTTTAGAAAGAGCAAAAGCTCATTTCCTTGGTGCATCCATTGGAGCTTTCCCTTGGCCTGTTAAAATCATGCCATACAGCAGCAACAGATACATCAGAGTCTTTCAGCCTCTCTGTATGGGACTAAGAGGCAGTGGAGATAGGAATGGATGGATGCACATAAATATTTAGGAGGCCGAGATGGCAGGTCACTGTGACTGACTAGAGCTGAGCAGTGAGGAAAAGAGGAATGGAAGTTGACCTATAGTCTCTGACCGGAGTGATCAGAGGATGATGATGCCATGTTCCAGGAAAGGGCATGTGGGAGGGGAGAGGACTTGGAGCTAGGGGGAGGGGGGAGGGGGAACAGTAGGCTTGACTTACAGGATGTACAGTTAGATGTGCCTGAGGGACATCCAGGCAGCCTCAAGGAATCTGGGCTGAAGCTATAGGTTTGGGAGCCCTCAGCAGATGCAGGAGCAGGAGCGGGACGGCTTACCGGACAGAGGTGTGGAGTGAGAAAGGAAGGAGACCAAGGGTAAAGCCCGGAGAACATCAACATTTCCATGAGGGGCAGTAGGGTAGCAGAGGACAGATGAAGACCACAAAGGAGATGCCAGGAAGAGACAAAGGGAAGCAGAAGAGACCAGTGTCCTGAAACTCAAAGAAGGAGGAAGGGCTGAGAAAAAGAGCAGAGTCAGATGAGGACCCCAAAGAGTCTGCAGGATGTAACATCAAAGTAGCTTCTGAGCTATTGCAGGGCAGAGGCCCAGCTAAAGGGACTGAAGAGTGAAGCGTCTGCCTTCGGCTCAGGTCATGATCCCAGGACCCTGGGATGGAGCCCCGCATCGGGTTCCCTGCTCCGCAGGAAGCCTGCTTCTCCCTCTCCTATTCCCCCTGCTGTGTTCTCTCTCTCGTTGTGTCTCTCTCTGTCAAATAAATAAAATCTTTAAAAAAAAAAATGAAGAGTGAATAAATGGAAATGAGAGCATGCTAAACCAGCAAGTGTAGACAACGCCAGAACCTTGGCTGGAAGGTAGAGAGGAAAACATGGCCATTGCTACGAAGGGCGTTGGGACCCAGAGAGAGATGTTTAAAGCTATAGAGACTCGGGTATGTTTAACCTCTCATGACCAAAAAAAAAAAAAAAAAAAAAAATCAGAGGAGAGAGGAGAAGTCCAGTTGGAGATATAGGAGAGCACAAACCTAAACTCTGAGGCTCCTCAATCTTATTTTTATAGCATAAACTGCCTCCTGGATAACCCCATGTCTTAATCTGTTCAGGCTTCCATAACAAAAATGCCATAGATTGGGTGACTTAAACAACAGAAATGTATTGTCTTATAGTCCTGGAGGTTGGGAAGTTCAAGAGGAAGATGCCAGTTGATTTAGTTTCTGGTAAGGTCTCTCCTCCTGGCAGTAGACGGCTACCTTCACACTACATCCCCACATAGCAGAGAGAGAGTTCTGGCACCAGTCCTATGGATCAAAGCCTTACCCTTATGACTCCTTTAACCTTAATTACCTCCTTATAGGTCCCATCTCCAAATACAATACTGTATCTGAGGTTAGAACTTCAACACATGGATTGGGGGAGAGCAGACACAATCCAATCCCTGGCACCATGTACTCACCTACCTATCTATTATGGGGGCAAGCTATTTGGCATTTTGTGGACCTTCCTAGAACTGCCAAGCTGAAGTCCCTTTCACCTTACCTACCCCTCCATTCTCCCCTTGCATTTCCCATCCTCAAAGTAGAAACTCAAAGGACGGACACTGTTAAGAGAGTTGCCTGGTGATCAAAATACAGGATGTTCTTCTGAAAGGAAGAAGGAGTCTGGAGCTTCCAAGAGAAACACACTCATGCCAAGCCCTGGGGTTGGCTCAGTGGGACTGCTGTATGGACATATTCCCACCAAGGATGTCCACAAATACACTCTTAGCCTCAGTTGTCCAGATATGTCATGATAAAAGTGAGGTTTGGGGACTATAGTATCCACTTTATCTCAAGTCTAACTACTGAACAATCCCTGTCTCTCACTGTACTTGTCCTGACTCTTCCTGGTAAATTATTTATTTATTCACCAGGGAGTTACTGAACATGCTCATGTGCCAGGCACTGTGGTAGTCCCTGGGGAAAAGCAGAGACCATGATAGGCTGCTTTCTTGGACCTTAAAGTCTAGTGAAGGGGCAGATAGTAATTAATCACACAACTGTAACTGGACAGGTCATACAGGTGAGGCACACAGTGACACGAGAGCCTCTAACAGGAGACTGGGCCCTGGCAGACAGGGAAGGGAAGGCTGCCCTGAGAAAATGCATCTGAGTGGCATGGGGATGATAAGGAATGAGTAGAAGTCAACTAGGTGAATATTAGAGAATATATTGGTTTTCTATGCTGCACATAGAAAATAGTAACACACTTACACAGTTTTCTTTTTTTAAACAAAAATTTAGTGACTTAAAACAATACATTTATTGTCTCACAGTTTCTGTGGGTCAGGAGTCCTGGCATGGCCTGGCTGGATCCTCTGCAAAGCTGCAATCAGGTGTGATGCAGGGCTGCATTCTCACATGGAGGCTTGACTGGGGAAGGATCCACTTCTGAGCTCATTCAGGCTTTGGCAGAACTCATTTTCTTGTGGCAGTAGGACTCATGGCAGCTTGCTCCTTCAAAGCCAGTGAGAGCAAGAGTAAGAGAGGTGGGGGTAGGAGGGGGGGAATTTAAAGTGAGTACACTAGCAAGATGGAGTCTTACATAACCTAACATAATCACAGCAGTGACATTCCATCACCTTTGCCATATTCTCTTAGTTAGAAACAAGTCACAGGTCCCTGCACACTCAAGGGTGTGAATGCCAGGAGGTGAGCATCATGGTGGTCACCTTAAAATCTGTTCATCACAGAGAACAACCAGGCAAAGGGAAGGGTACATGCAAAGGCCCTGTGATGGGAGGGAGTGTGGTCTATGTGAGGAACAGGAGCACAGAAAATGGAAGGGAGAAATGTAGGGGCTGAGGCCAGACCATGCAGGGCCTTCCTCAAGATTCCAAGAATAATGGCAAGCCATGGAAGAGAGGGTGGTGACATAATCCAATGTGCCCTTCCAGTCAGTGCTATCCCAGGGCTTCTGAGCTGAATTCAGAGTGGATGAATAACCCCAACCGAATCCAGACAGAAGACCGGGATACAAGGAGTTGTCACCAAGGCAGCTAAGTCCCATAGCTAGATGGAAGCTCCACGAGGTCTGTTCTTGTTCACCCCTGAACCCAGATTTGGGGCCATACCAGCATCTGAGCAGATATTTCTGAATGAATTAGTTAATGGAGAGATGGAAGCCAGGTATCTTGTTCAGAACCTGCATGGAGAATCAGATCTCTGGAGTCAGAGTCTTTCACCCTGAATCGGACAGAACCTACTTAGTCATCATAATTCCCAATTGAGTCCTGGATGGCTCAGTCAGTTGAGTGTCTGACTCTCCGTTTCCCCTCAGGTCATGATCTTGGGGTTGTGGGAACAAGTCTCACATAGGGCTTTGTGCCCAGTGGGAAGTCTGCTTTGGATTCTCTCTGTCACTTACTCTCTCAAATAAATAAATAAGTAAAATCTTTAAAAAAGAGAAAAAAGAAAAGAAAACCCTGGGCTCTACCCAAAAGAGAGCAGAAGCTCCCTGGGGCAGAGTACCTCTTGCTTCAACATGGCAAGCACCCACTCTTGGCTGGCTCTCAGGCTCCATACGCTGTGTGCTTTGCCTTTGGGCGCTGGCTGGCCCAGGGCATGGCACACCATTCACTGTTTGGATGACAGTACATTTCCATGTCAAAAGTGCTCTCTCTCGTTGGAGCTCAAGCTATCAGTACCAGAGCATACCACTGGATGTGGTGTGGCATTAAGCATACTGCCCGCTTCTCCCTGCAGGCCTGGGGTAATACAGGGAGGACTGTACCATGAAGAATCTTCTATTTAATATTGGGATGGAGAGGGAGAAAGACAGGCACAACATGTGTTGAATTGTAGTAAACAGGCAGATAATAAACTGGCTGCGATGGAGGACTTTCTTATGCCAAGGTAACCTTGAACAAACCGAACCTCATTTTCTGAAGTCCACAGCTACAGACTTCTGTTGGCATCACCCGACAAAACCTCCCAAAGAGGAAATGCTGAGGCACGGCCCCTCTGGCATAGCCAACAGTCACACATGCTGCTACACCACCTGCACCCCTTCTCCCAGCCTCATGGCCCTGGCACCTTCATGGCTCTGGACTGGTGCCTAATCACCATGCTTGTTGGCCAAACCTTGGCTGGGCCTGACATGTAGTCCTTAGAAGAGCACTCCGGGTATGAGGGGTTCACCCTCCCATTTTTCAGATGACAGAATAGCTTCAAAGCTCACGGTCATACAACAAGCAGGAGGGAAAGCCAGCATTGGAACCAGGGCACGCCAAAGCACAGTAGACTGTTCCCAACCACAGCAAGAGGCTAGAGAATTTCTAGATACAGCAGGTGACCTTGGGCAAGCTAGCTTCTCTAAGGCTGCTCCCTCATCTGTAAAACGCGCATAATAATACCTACCTTGTATGGCAGTGGGAATAGAGAGATAAAATCTCTAGAAGGCCTAGTATAGCACCTGACTCAGCCTGGATGCCTATAAAAGTTATCTATGATTGTTATCACCTTCTGAACACGTTCGGTCTCTTATATTTCAGAAGCTCAAGAAATGGATGCTGTTTATTGCCCAGTGCATTCAGAAATGTGATGATAAAGAATGGGTACCCAAGGGGCACCTTCCCCCAAGGTGAAGGAGCAGATGCACAGGATGGCCAGCCAGAAGCAGGAACAACTAGTCCCAGCTGCATGGGTCTTGGCTGCATGGCTTCAGTGAAGTCATAACCTCTTTGAGCCTCAGTTTCTTTATCTGTAAAACGTAGGTGAGAATAATAAGCAGCCTGTCTCCATCATAAGGCTGTGGTTCAGCTTACATGAGGTGATGGTCTGAAAGTGCTTTGTAAAGTGGAAAGATGTTATCCAAAGGTAAGGGGTGATTATCCTTATGATGATACAGATCTTGTGTGGATGGCCTCATTACAGAGGGTGGGGCCAGCCTTCCTCGGCCCCTGGGGAAGACAGAACCAGAGGGAACACAGTCACCAGATAAATGCAGGGAGAAGGAATGAGTTTTGGAAAGCCTGGGTGGCTAACCACTGAAATAACAGACTCTCAGAAGGACATCCCTGGGTCGAGGATATCCAGGCCACTTCCGTTTTTTGCAAGTCCAATTATATCAATACATATTAAGCATTCCAAGAAAGGGCTGCCCATATGTGGTGTATTTTGTATGTTCAATCAATAATTTGCATGTTCAATGGTAGGACTTCAGGTATGGATCTCAGGGTACTACGTCTGTGGGGGTCACAACTGCCCTGGCAGCTTCTCAATCCCCAACTATCTAGATAACCTCATTCTGAGATAATACCCAACTAGTATATTTGAGGCCACATGAGACCCTCCTAGTCCCCCATGGTAGGCTCTGGGGGAGGAGGCAGAGATATCTTTAAATTCTCATCTGACAGGGGCACCTGGGTGGCTCAGTTGTTAAGCGTTCTGTGTTCCCTCTCAAGTGCAGTCACTCAGGAAGAAGCCAGCTGCCATGTCACAAGGACACTCAAGCGGCTCTGGAGAGGTCCACATGATGAAGAACTGAGGCCTCGTATCCCCTGCCATGTGAATGAGCTTGGAAGCAAATCCTCTGACCCCGGTCAAGCCTTCAGATAAGTACAGACCTGGCAAACATCCTCACTGCAACCTCATGAGAGAGTGGCTTTCACATTCCTGACCCTCAAAGACTGAAAGATAGCAAATATGTATTCTTTTAAGCCACAAGGTTTGGAGCAATTTGTTACGCAAGTTATTCAACTTCCTTGAGCCTCAATTCGCCATTTGTAAAATGGTTATAATAACGGAGGCTACTCTATAGCGTTGTTGTCAGGAATATATGAAGCAGTGGTATACATAAATTATTTAAAAGAGTGAGACATTGGACATTAGTTGCTGTCACAGTTATTGCTCAGTTGCTTCTAAAAGTACTCTGCCAACCTACAATGGTCCCACCTTCTTGAGTTCCTCATCTGGGAGTACATATCCCCAGAGAATGTCAGTTTAAGAAGCAAGTTTTTGCCAAGACAATTCAATGGGGAAAGAATAGCCTTTTCAACAAATGGTGCCAGGTGGGCTGGTTATCCACATGCAAAAGAATGAAGCTGAACCCCTACCTCACTCCATATACAAAAATTAACTTAAAATGGAGCAAAGACCTAAAAGTAAGAGCAAAAATTATAAACCTCTAGAAAGAAACACAGGCACAAATTTTTGTGATCTTGAATTAAATAATGGTTTCTTAGCTATGGCACCAAAAGCACAAGCAACCAAGGGAAAAAAACTGGTAAATAAGATACTATTGAAATTAAAAACTTTTGTGCTTCAAAGGTTACCATCAAAAAAGTGAAAGGATATCCCAAAAGAATGAGAGAAGTTATTTTCAAGTCATATATCTGATGAGGTTCCAGTTTTTGGAATATTTATAAAGAACATTTAAAACTCAATAAAAGACAAATAACCCAATTTTAATATGGGTAAATTATTTGAATAGACATTTCTCCAAAGAAGATATATTCTGGAACACCAATAGGTACATGAAAAGATGCTCGACACCATTAGTCATCGGGGAAATGCAAATCAAAACCACAATGAGATACCTCTTCACATCCACTAGGATGGCTATAATCACATAGACAGATAATAACAAGTATTGGCAAAGATGTGGAGAAATTGGAAACTGTATACACTGTTGGTGGGAACGTGAAATGGTGCAGCCACTCTGAAAAACAGCCTGGGAGTGCCCCAAATGGTTAAGTCTACAGTTACAATTCCATCCCTAGGTGTACACCCCAGAGAACTGAAAACATACTCACCTGACCACCAATCACAGTATTTGCTTCACTGTGTAAGTTCTTTTGTTTGTGTCTTTACTAAGTAATTGTTTGGTGCTTTTGTTTGTGTCTTTACTAAGTAATTGTTTGTTACTCACACAACACTAGTACACAAATGTTTATAGCCATACAATTTGTAATAGCCATTAAAAGGAACAAAGTACTGATATGTGCTACCCATAGTTGAACTTTGAAAACATGTTAAATGGAAGAAACCAGTCGCAAAATAGGGAAACCTATATAAACAGAGATTAGTGGTTGCCTAGGGCTGAGGAGGTTGGAGGTAAATGTGAGCGACTGCTAATGCATACTGGGCATATTTTCGGGGCGAAAAAGTGTTCTGAAAGTAGATAGTGGTGATGATAGTTGAATGGCTTTATGAATATACTAAAAACCACTGAATTGTATATTTTAAACAGCTGAAATTTATGGTAAATTATTATATCTCAATAAAGCTGTTACACAAGAAAAGAGCAAGTTTTTAGAAAGGGTATGAAAAATTAGTTGAGTGGGGTTTTTTTTAGGATATTCTAGAGGTGATGAAATCCATCCATATGTGTACATACACACACAACCATGTGTACGAGCGTGTGTGTGTGCGTGCATATGCCCGAGTGCACGCGTGCACATGCGCGCGCGTGCACACACACACACACACACACTTAATTTCAAATCAGAAACCAGAACAGGTGACTATGATACCTTCTATTTGGGGAAAGAAGACACCAGAGCTCCTCAGAAGAAAATTCTAGACCTCCATTAATTTCAGTATGACCTTTCTAGGACACAATCGTTTGTTAAAACACTTTATATGCTTAACTCACAGGAGTATTCAGTGAGGTAACAGTGTTATCTCCGTAATATGGATGAGGCTCAGAGAGTGTAAGTACCTTGCCTGGGGTCACAGAGCTGTTAATCTGAGAGCTTCTTTCTGTACTCCAGGCTGCCTGTCAAAATGAATTAAAAAAACAGATGATACTTCCCTGTCTCTGCAATTTCAAAATTGTGCTCTGGTGTCAACCTTATTTACTTCATTTCATTCCATATTCCAACCCAATCTCTGGCCAGAAAGAGCTCCCTGTTCTTCCCAGAACACCCCAATATCTATAATCAAAGAGAGATCAAGGCGGAGTGCACACACTTTGTAAGCTTTACACAGATGTAAACTAGCATCTTACCTTTTCCTTCCTCTAGAAAGTGCCTCCTTCTCTCTCTCTCTTTTTTAAAAGATTTATTTATTTATGTAATCTCTACACCCAACATGCGGCTGGAACTTACAACTCTGAGATCAAGAGTCCCAAGCTCCACCACCTACTGAGCCAGCCAGGCGCCTTGTCCTTATTTTGACATATGCAAAACCATAGAACCATGGAATCTTTCAAGGTTGAGCTCAGTCCCCTCCAACTCTGGGGACCTCCATGCTGCAGGGCAGGCAGGGGTTTCTTCTTCCTGAATTCTTGGACACTCACCACAAAATCGTTCCATGTTATGCTCTGGCCCAACCTGACCACCAATCACAGTATTTGCTTCACTGTGTAAGTTCTTTTGTTTGTGTCTTTACTAAGTAATTGTTTGGCGCTCTCAGCAGTGAGGTAGTCGCTGTTTTCCTTGGGCTAAACACTCAATATCTCGGAGCTTCAATTTCCTTATTGGCAAAATGGGAATGATGCTAGCTATGCTGGTAGTACCCATGAGTCTCTTGCCAATTCCATTTTGGGTATGTTGTGGGCAGAGGCAATGCTGCCTACAGCAGCAGTTCTCAAAATGTGGTCTGGAAGTCCCTGGCGGGGGGGGGGGGGCCCCTGAGGCCCTTTCTAAGATTCTGTGAGGTTTCCTCTTTTCATCTACTTACCTGTGTGAATCTGGGTTTCCTTCACATACTTGAACCAAAATAACACATCACAACAGATCGAGTGCAGAAACAGATGTGAGGCTCCAGCTCTCTTCTATGAAGCACACATTGAAATGTTTGCCAAAATGTAAAACAATGCCACTGTTCTCAGTAATTTTTTTGTTTTCGAAAATAGAATTTTTAAAATAAAAATATGTTGACATGTAATGACTTTAACTTTATAAGTTAATGAACATTTTTAAAAATCTCAGTTTTAATTTCTAATACAGTGATTATCAATTAGATAAAACCACACAAAGAAACGCTCTTTGGGATCCTCAGTAATTCTTGGGAATGTAAACTTGGGAGACTGAAAAGTTTGAGAACCCCTAGAGGAAAGAAGAGCGTTGCAAATCGAGATTTTTTAGGTACCTCGTGTTCTTAACCTTACCCTGTGTTCCAGTTCCTTTCTAAGGAGCTATTCATCTCTTTGTTTCCTTAACGTTTATATGTTGCATTATGTGTGTGTATATAGGGACGGTCTCTGGAAGGACACAGGAGTATACACATGGCACCAGTGGTCTCCCCGGGAAAGGGGAATTGGGAAACTGGGAGACAGTGGTTTACAACCTTTCAACTCTGATTTTTTTTTTCTAATACATGGCGCACGCATCGCCTACGCTTAATATGGAGCAATTAAAAGTAAAATTACACTTTTGTTTAGATGGCTAGAGAACGGAAGTTGGCTCAAGCAAAGTGATGTTGACCCGCAATCGGAGAAAAAGCCCACCTAAGTTTTCCGTGCCTACCTTCGCGCGGCCCACAAACACTTCGCGTATATTCCCTCGGACTCGCGGCCGGCGCGCCGGACTTCAGTCCCTCCCCGCCCGCGGCCCCGCCCCCTCGCCCTCGCCCCGCCCCCTGCCGCCCCGCCCCGCCCCCTTTACGTCACCTCCGCCGACCAGCTTCCCCGAACTCCCTCTGGCTCCCGCCTTCGCCCGCTTCCGGTCGTCGTCGTCGCCGCTGCTGCCGCTGGTGCTGCTGCTGCTGCTGGGGCTGCTGGCGGAGGCCGGAGGATCGGGCGGCGGCGGCGGCGGCGGCTGAGAGGGCGGCGGCGGGAGCGGAGCGGGACGAGGGAGCGAGAGGAAGCGAGCGAGGAGCGAGCGGAGCGCGCCCAGCCCCGCCCGCCCTTCCGCCCGCGGGAGCAGCCGGAGCAGCCCGGGCCCCCAGCCGTCGTCGTCGCCGCCGCCGCCGCCGCCGCCGCCGCCGCCGCCCCCCGCCTACCCGCCCGCCGGACAAAGCCCGAGAGCCCGCGCGCAGAGCCATGTCCTCGTCCGCCGGCAGCGGCCACCAGCCCAGCCAGAGCCGCGCCATCCCCACCCGCACCGTGCCCATCAGCGACGCCGCGCAGCTACCTCATGACTATTGCACCACGCCCGGGGGGACGCTCTTCTCCACCACGCCGGGAGGTGAGCGCCGGCCGCCCCGCCGCGGCCCGGAACCTGCAGCCCGTTTTCTCCGCCGCGGGCCTTTAACTCAGGGCGTGTCCAAGCGTGGCAGCCTCCGCCCGCGCAGCTCCGCCAAAGCCCCCCCCCCCCCCCCCCCCCCCCCCCCCCCCCCCAGCTCCGCCAAAGCCCCCGTGAGACTGCTTTCGGGAACCTTAACTTCGCATTCTCTCTTGGCTGCAACTCGATTCAGCGCGCGCCCACTCTGGGAACGGGGCTCTCCCGTCGCTGGGGCGGGGCGGGGGGGGGGAGCCCTTGTTCCCGCTTCGTGGCAGCTTTCGGCGTTCGACCCAGTTTTCTCCCCCTCTGCCTCCTCCTGGGCAGATTCGTCTACACTTGGCCTGGCTCTCGTTCTGCATTGCCTCTGCCTCTTGCCTGTCGTGCATTTGTGCACATTAATGCTTGATTTTGGAGCTCTCTCCCGGGCCTTTTTAGAAAGAACAGGCAGAGTATTTCGCTCTTGGGACTCTGCGATGACTTGTTTTGCTGCTTTTAGAACGGCAGGAGGAGGCTGGAATGCAGAGTTTGGACGCCTCATCCGGCGTTATCCTGCTTTGACAGCATTGTTTACTTGCTGGACGAGGCCCCATGAGGGGGGGAGTCCCCAGGCCCAGGCTAGGGGAGAGAATGATAAAATAATACTCAAGACATAGCCAAGGGAAAAGACGTGGGGGTAGTAGAACGCTGGCAGCCCTGACGATAGGTTTTTGGCGGTGACGCTTTTGGGGATAGATGAGGAGGGCATTGGCAAGAAGGGCACCCGGATCGGTGGGATTGCTTGATTCTGGGGAAGGGCAGCGCAGGGAGAGTTTTCCGAGCATTGCTTTTCGAAGTATGACCAGGAACTGTTTACAAGGAAGAACACTGGGGTGGAGGTGAACCACGTTGAATTTGTCACGGGAAAAGGGAGCTCAAAGGTTGTGTGTTGTTCCCTGACTGGGCTGTTCTCCAGGGGGAGGAGACTAGAGAGCGATCTTGTGGGACCTTATTGAAGGGGATGGCGCTTCATTTTAACTTCGGAACTTTGTCTTCCTTTGGTGTTGGGGTGGCCTCTCTCTAGAGGGTTGAACTTTGCTGGCAGCCTCTGCCGGAGGAGATGGCTAGCTTCGTTCCTGTGGGCTGGGCTCACCAGTTGTACTACAACCAATCCGGTGCAGTTAGGCCCTGGCGATCCTTGACTTGGTTGCACAATAGCAGGGCCCAGAGAGTAGGAAGACCTTTTTGCCAACAACAAGGGATAAAAATCCAGGAGAGAGCTCTACAGAGGAATCCGTCCCGGCCACTCTAGGGGATGGGTGGCTGCCTTGGAAGACTTTAAAATGACCCAAGCAGGAGGAGTTCATCAATATTTTTGGATAGCTGGGCTTATAGAGGCTTTAACTTTGCAGGCTGGTGGGATGACTCCGTGAGGTGCCTTGCCTCACGGGAGAACCCTCCCTCCTGACCTGATCTGTTCAAGGCCAGCCCCTGAGCATGCTTCGATCCTGCTTTTTGATGATCGTGAAAGATTTTGGCGGACCAGTATCTGCTCCAGATAGAGTTGTCCTGAACTTGAGCTGACAGCTTTTAAGAAATGGATACTGTTTTCCAAGGTGATAGGAAGGGATTTATAACCTCTTGCAGAATTCTTTGTGGTACTGGTCAGTAAATGCCTGCGCTTCCAGCCGTTGAGAACATGTCATGGTTAACAACTGCACTCAGCTATTATTTATGCGGGGAAGGAACTGAACTTTTAGCTATATATTAATCATTATTCCCCTGACGGAAGAGCCACAGAGGGGGTACCTTTCGGGCATATTTCAAACAGCCAAGCTGCCTTGCTTTTAGAATAAGGACATAGTCTTTAAGCATTGTTTTAAAGATAGAAGCCTGTTTCATAGTCTGGATTAGTTCCTAAAGTGCTTGGAAAGATTCTGCCAGAAATACTGATTCATTTACCCTTCCTTCCAACTTACAGTCACTACTGCTTTCTCAAATATCACTTAACCTGTCTCCCGATAGTTTCTATACACAGTTTTTTGTTTCAGATTTAAATACTTGTCATCTTAGCTCATCTATTACATTGAACTTGTATTTATTGGTAGAGCAGGTTGTAATCTTTGGATTTTTAGCACGAAGGCTTAACATAATGCGTTTATAGGTTATAGCACTGTTGGGATTGGATTTAATCACTCTTAACTCAGTGCTGTTTAGATGTGCAGTAGATACTGATTTAATTTTTCCCCCTTTGGAAACTTTCCCCTCCTCTGATGGTTTGCTCATCTCTCTTGTACATTCCTCTCTCTCCCACCATGTAATTGAGCCAGGGGAAGATAGTTTTATTTGGTCTCCTCCAGGCACCTGAATTAATGTGATTAGGTATTTTAAATGAGTTTTGTGGGCCTAGTGCAGTGCTTTGCACAAAAGAGAGCCATAAACCAAAGTAGGAAATGCAGTCCTTGCTCTCAGTGATCTTAAACTCTTGAAGGGGTTGGGGACTGATAAGATTTTTCGTTTTAGAACAAAAAAAACTTACAGAATCCAGTGCTAACATACATTTCAGGTATGAAAACATTTAGAAAAATGATAGTAAGCTTGCATGGGAAATCTCTCTTTAGTGGAAAGGAAGGGGATTAGCATGTCCTGTCTTAAACTTCTGGAAACCTTCTGGAGTGTCATACACGTGTTGGCAGTATTCCAGGATAACAGTTGATGCACTGAATGCCCTAAATGATCAGACTGGGCAGGGACATTCACAACATAGTGAACTTATGATTTCTTCTCCTTTGAGAGTCCTTTATTTATTGGGGATCAGAGGTTACAGCCTACCCCTTGGGAAGGTTTCTCAAAACTGCCTTCTCATGGTTTAGGGAATGAGAGGTGGGTGGAGACAGACTTGCTCTGACCTTTGGATTTCTCAAATTGCTAGAAGAGTACCTACCTGTTTTCATTGTTAAGGAGGAGGAACATTTTTGTTGAGTAAATTCAAGGCAAAAAAAAAAAATGCCCTTGGTTTTTATTTTACTTTATTTTATCTGCCTGTGGAGGAGTGAGGACGCTATTTGGTTCTTCCTTTGAGAAGCCACATCTAGCCTCAATGGAAGGGAAAGTTACTGTAGTTGTCTTCACTTTTATAACACTTTGGTTAGCTGGAAGGCACCTGATGCTTTCCTAAGTTCTGAACTTTCTCCTTTTAGGAGTGTTGTGCTCTGGGAAACGAGCAGAAACAGAGAGAACTCTTTTAGCCTTCTTTCTGCCTTTCTTTTCCTGCATAACATCCTCATCAGCTGTGGAAAAGTGCTGTTGCCATAATAAGAGCACCAGTGGGGAACTAACTGTGATGGTCTAAAATCTTGTTCGTGCTGCTGTTTCCTCGGTTAGCTGGAGAGTTGCTGTGATGGGTTCGCTGGGTCAGAATTACCTGAAGGCCATTGCAAGGGTCTGGAAATAAAGAAGGTAGGAAGAAGGGAAAATAATCCGCTTGGAGTGAGCTATAGTAAAATAAGAGTGTTTGAGAGGAGTCCTAAGTTTTGGCCTGGTTCCCTTCTTGGGAGGTGAATAGAGCTCTATGTAGATCTGGGGAAAGAAGGTCAGTTTCTGACTGTTGTGAAATTTCTAACTCCATGACCTTGGGTTGAGTTTATTCTAGGCCAAAACCTTCTGAACCAGCAAATGTACTTATTTGGCTCCCTAGCTTCAGTTACTAACCAAAGGACTTCCTTATGACATGGGAGAAGTACATGAAAAGCATAATGAAAGGTGTTCAGTCCCTCTGCCTTGTGTTTGAGGAAGACTGCATTTACTTATCTCAGAGTAACCCAAATTATTAACATGTTTGTCATTCTGTGGGAGATTCAGCTGAGGTCTCATATTCATCAGCTGCCAAAGTATATATTAAAGAAGATGTACTTCAGTTTTTATGTTGGGTGCGTTTTTTGCTCACAAAGGATTGAATTCTGGGGCGCCTGGGTGGCTCAGTTAAGTGTCTGCCTTTGGCTCAGGTCATGATCCCAGGGTCCTGGGATTGAGGCCTGCATCAGGCTCCCTGCTCGGCGGGGAGCCTGCTTCTCCCTCTCCCACTCCCCCTGCTTGTGTTCCCTCTCTCGCTGTGCCTCTCTCTGTCAAATAAATAAATAAAATCTTTAAAAAAAAAAAAAAAAAGGATTGAATTCTGAGCCTGGGGGAGGCAGCAGTCTGCATCCTCAAAGCATATAGCAATGCATTGTTTGAAAGCCTCTGCCTGTCCTAAGTCAGATGCAGTCTGACCAGGGAAGGCAGCTCTTACAAGTTGATAGTGTAGCATGTATGAAGGCCCTGTGCACAGCTCCTTCAGCTTGCTGAGGCCTGTTGTGGGCAATAGGAAGAGCTAAAAGTGATGAGTCTGTAAACTGACACTAGCAGGGTTACTCAGGAAAGACTTACAGCTGGAGTCTTAACAACAGTTTTCTAAGAGGGGTCTTGCAAAGGGGTCCCTGGATGGCTCAGTAGGTAGAGCATACGACTCTTAACGTCAGGGTCGTGAGTTCAAGCCCCATGTTGGGTGTGGGACCTACTTAAAAAAAAAGGAGGAGTCTTACATGGTTTGGCTGCACTGTAGGCTTGATTATGTGTGTGTGTAAAAATGTGCAGATCAGATAGGGTACAGTTAATGTGGAGTAAGCTAGTTCATCTGGTTGGAGAAGAATACAGCCTGAGCAGGAGAATAGTTTGTTGGTGAGCGGCAGAACTTTTTTTTGGTTTCCAAGTCTTTTTATGAACAATGTAATATTTAAACGATTTTTGTTACTCCATTTATAAATAATAGAACAAAAGTCAGTTGAGAATTGCAGTCATTCACCTTACTGAATAGTCAAGGCCTAGACTCCCATTTTCAAATTTGTTCATCGTGGAACTTGGTTTTGTGAAGGCCCCTTAGACACCCGTGTTTTAACAGGCAGCTGCTGGGCATCCCATGGGTGACTAGTTTATAAAGGTCCCCTGCACCT